ACGAGGACGAGGACGAGCACGAGCACGAGCACGAGGACGAGGACGAGGACGACGACGAGGACGAAGGACGAGAACGAGCACGAGCACGAGGACGAGGACGAGGACGAGGACGACGACGACGACGAAAACGAAACCCTCAACACTACTTAAAGTCCTTGAACCTCTAATCCATAAACCCTCTTTAACCCCAAACCCTGAGACCTAAACCAAACCCTGAGCCCTAAAACCCAAAAACTCTCAACCCCAAAGGAACCCCCCCCAGCCACCTTTTGCTGCTGCTCCCGGAGCTCCAGGCGGTCGGCTTCCAGCCGGCGCGCCTAGCAAGAGTTGGAGCCTTAAGGCATTGGGAGCTTGGGGTCTTCAGGGATTTAGGGATTTAGGGTTCAAGGGCTTAGGGCTCTAGGACTGCAGGACTAGGTCTCGCGAAAGATTCGTGACGCCCCGAGGCTCCTCCACGAGGGCATCGAGGGCGCCCTCCTTCTCCATCTCGCTTCGCTCCCGGTCCTGGCGTATTGAAGCTCCAAGGCTCCGCAGAAAACGGTGTTTGGGGCTTAGAAGTGTTTTGGGTTGAGGGGTGAGGGCTTGGAGGGCTTTGGCTTCAGGAAAGGCCCAGGGGTACCTTCATAAAGGCATGCGGGGCATCTTCAAAGGGGCACTTGGCAGCGACACCTGCTTCTCCAGCAGCTGACGTGCCCGAACCTGTGCGTCGGGCTTTGGGGTTTCGGGCCTGAGGTTTGGGGCTTAGGTTTACTTGCATCCTTCTCAAGTACCGCTTTGGTACCTCTTTGGTGATACGTTCACCCCTCAAGCCCATTTACGATCTGTGCTGTGGGTTTGAAGGCTGGTCCGACGTGGGTTGATCTAAAGATATTGCAGGCAGACGAGGGTCCGTGCGGTAGCTTTCGGGGGTTCGGGTTTTCGGCATTGAAGCCGCCAACCTAACCGCTGAACTTCAGCAGTTCAGTCCGGACCCTCAGTCCTAAACCCTTTCAACCCGCATGTCCATCCTAAACCCTAGAACTTGAGCCCTGAAACCTTTCAAAGCCTCAATCCAAAAAACATGTTGCGCCCTAAGCCCCAAGCAACCAAGCTCAAGGGAGGCTTCCGGAACCTTGGCCCCCAATGTCTCCGAAAACACCGGTGTCTCCTTGCACTAGCTAGGTCGAATTAGGGTTGAGGCGTTTAGGGGTTTAGGGGCTCAGGGTTGAGAGTTTGAGGGTTTAAGGGTTTGTGCCTCAAACAGCATGTTAGGCATTCAGGGTGCTGGAGGGCCTCAGTCTGGCCTGCTTTCCTTGAAGGGTGTTCACTACTGGGGATGACATTGGTAGCTAAACAACCCCAAAACCCTAAACCCAATGATTCAGACCCCACATTCTTGCCCGTGTATTTCGTGCCTTGTTCACCTGAGCAGCTTGCAGCTTCTCCTGCTCATCGCGCAGCCGGAAGATGCAATGGGATTGGACCATTGAGGTTCTGGGCGTGGAGAGGGTTCACTCGGGGCTTAGATGGGATGAGGTGTGAAGGTTGGAGCTCGGGGCAAAAACATCAGCCTGCATCAGCCTGCTCCCAGCGCCCCCCCCCCCCCCACCCAAGTCTGCACGCATTCAAGGCCTGAAGGTACCTCACCTTAATGGGAGTACAGCTAAAGCCCGAAACTCCCAAAAAGGCGTTAAACTGAAAAACCCTGCCCACACTGGGCACAATCCCTTGGGTCGGGTTTAGGTTTGGGGTTTATCAGGTTTGGGGGTTTGGGGGTTTGGGGGTTTGGGATTTAGGGTTTAGGGTTTAGGGTTTAGGGTTTAGGGTTCGAGTTTGCGATCTAAACCCTGGACTGGAAATGCCCCTGCCGTGCCTTGAGGGCTCGCAGCTCCTCGGATGCGTTGCACACCTGCTGGCGGACCACCTCCTTGCGGACCTCGCCATGGGCGGGCTTCCAAAAGAAGAGCGTTTACCTCGAAGGCCTTCCCAAGAAGGCCCCTCCGGCGACAATAAGCACACATGTCACATTAAATGTCCCAAGGGCCTACCAAGTTGTTCTATGAGCATTCTCATGCTGGCAGCGGCACCTTCTCAAACCGACACGGGCTCCGGCCTGCTGGGCCTTCCGCTTCGCGAGCTCCTCGGCCAGGAGCCTCGGAAACACTAAAGGCTCAGGGTTTAGGGTTTAGGGTTTAGGCTTTAGGGTTTTAGGGTTTAGGGTTTAGGGTTTTTCGGGTCTAGGGCTTGGGGTTCAGTGAAGGATGAGGGGCCTTGGGGGGAGGGTTTAGGGCCGGAAGGCCTTTGGAGGCTTCAGGGCCTCACGGCTTTTGGGGTTTGGTGCCTTCCAGGCCTTCGGAACCTTCAAGCCTTTGAGGGAGCTGGGAGGCCTTGGGGACCAGAAGCCCTAACTCCAAAGGCCAAAACGGCGTGGTCCGACACACGAGGGGAGGGTACGTTTTTTTCGGGGGGAAGCCGTCACGTTTCTAAGAAGCCCTACTTGAAGAAGGTATGATCTAAACGAACCCCGCGCAGGTCCATCTCCGGGGAGGCGGCTCCTCGAACTCAGAGATCTGCTTTCGGTTCTCCTTTTCCTGCCCAGTGCTTGGCGCGAGGCTTCGGGGGACGTAGGGCTGGGATGACCTGGGGCTTGCGACGTGGGCTCCTGGCCGCTTAGAGAGAGTTTAGGGCTCAGGGTTTGCTTAGCGTTCCCCCCTCTAGGCCCTAGTAAGGTACAAACCTGCCCCACACTGGAAACCTTAAGCCTAGAAGTCCTGAACCCCAAACCCTAAACCCTGAACCCCTGAACCCCTGAACCCCTGAACCCGAAACCCTACACCCCAGCAGGGTTTTGGACGAGGGTTTTCGGCCTGCTCCGCTTTGACGTAGAGGAAGTCAAAGAGGCGCTCCTGCCTGCGGTCGAATGGCTTGAGGTTGATGATAGAAAGGGTTTAGGCTTTAGAGTTTAGGGTTTAGGGCTTAGGGTTTAGGGGCTTAGGGGCTTAGGGGCTTAGGGGTTTAGGGTTTAGGGTTTAGGGTTTAGGGTTTAGGCTTGATGGGGGCCTATTTGATGAGAATGGGTAGTTGGGGTCGTTTAGAAGTTAGGGAAGTATGTTGGGCAATTTTATTCTGCTGTTACATTTCGCACGGTTTAGGGCTTGCTGCTTCCCGCAAAGTACCCCTTATTGCGGGACCGACGGGTACCTTAATGCGGGCATTGAGGGCATCCAAAATGAGAGGAGGCAAGATGGGAGTCCCAAGCAAGGAACCTACGGAAAGGATCGTAGGTATACAGAGAGTCAATTTTCTACACGTACGTGTAAAACAAACAAATTCTGAGTAACTATGCAATATGCCGAAAATCAAAAAAGAACACAGGTACAAGGGTCCCGGGATTATGTTGGGACCAGTCCGGCCCAAGCTCGAAAGCCCTCAGCCCGGAAACCCTAACATCCGCCGCTCCCAACAAGCCCGAACCTTTGCGCAGATTGGAGGCCCCCGCCACGCCTTTCATCGGACTCCATCCGCTGTCTCCGCATTGCCTGCAGCGGGCAGGAAGGGAGGGCGGGGGCGCTTCAAAGCCCCCAAAAGGGAAGCCACATAAACTATCCCAATGGCCTGCCTGGCGTAGTACTAGGATCTTGGTTGGGTTTTGAGTCTTGGAACGTTCAGTGTTCCTATTAGGGCCCGGGCTAAGCCGCCTTAAACCCTAGACCCCAAACCCTCAAAACACAAAGCACCTCAAACGTCTGTTTGGAGACCCTGCCCAGTGCCCTCATTCGACTCTTGACCTGGGAGCCGATTTTGTCCGCCACGCTCGGAGAGGCCCACACGGACCGAACGCAGCGGATTAAGAGTCGAGAGCCTGCAAAGGTGTGCGGTAGCCCAACGAATCGCATGCGCATCTCTCATGCCTGCTTGCTTATGGAAGGCGTTAGTACTGTGGCTCAGGCGAACCGCCCTAAACCGCCAGATGCAGGGCTCTCAAGACGCAGCGACTTCGCCACACCTCGCAGGCCCTAAAGACGAAAGAGGATTGGGATTTCGGGTTTGTAGGGTTTAGGCTTCAGGGCCTTAGGCTACGGTTTTTGGCAACCTCAGGTCGATTCAATGTCTTCCTAGGAGTGGTCCCTTAGGGCCTTAGGGATCACCTCATCAACGCTGAAGCCTGAAGCCCAAGAGCCCGCGAGGCCCTGTTAAAGCAGTATCGCCTTCCGGCGAGACGCTGAAAAATGGACGCGCGAAGCTTCCTGACAATGTGGCCCCCTCCCTCACCCGGCCTCCAAAAAAAGACTTGATTCTTTAGAGGGCTGCAAGGTGCTGATCACCCTTTTTAGCTACAAAGCCGAAACCTCAGTCTCATAATTCACCAAGCATTAACACCACGACATGGGTCACCTGCTAATTGACATGTAAACCCTTAGTCCTTCCTTGACTAGTGTTCTTTCCTCATCCTTTTCGCCAGTACTTGGAATTAGGGCTTAGCGTATAGAATGGCTCGCTTGCAGCGATGAGGCTTTGGCAGAGGTAAGCCTGTCAACTCTGACTCCCTAAAAAGGGGGCGGGGTCACGGCGGGAGAGGCGTGGGGCGACCACAGCCGAACGTGGGGGCGCAGCGGCCTCGTTTGAGGCGTGACGCCTGTGCCCGTGCTCAAACTCCAGCACTTTGGCACGCTTCGGCTCTCGCTGTAGAACATCTGATCTCTGCATAGAGGTTTGGGGGCGAAATGAAGGCCATTACAACTGTTTGGTGGAGCCAATAGCTGCAATTGCTTGGTCAAGCTGGTAGACATTAGCGTGGCATGCGCATGTTGGCATGGCCGGCCAGTGCCGCAATGAAAGTCACCTAGTCCGGCGAACCTTCGGGCAACGAGCTACGCTTCGAATTGCACAGGACTGGGTTTGGCCCTTGAAACCCTCTGAACAACAGTCAGGGCTGAGGTTTTGGGGGCTCATTCCATAGAAGGATCCTCCTTTGACCCAATTCGGAGAAGACAACGCATCATAACGCATCCCAAGGGCCCTCAGATCAGGCCGTAGGCGAGCAGCGCGGCCATGGGAAGCAGCACACTCCGTCCCAGGCTGTCGTTCGTCTGCACGAGCGCCGTCACGCCAAGCTTCTTGTCCTGACCGGCAGGCCGAAGTGGTGGCCCGTTTAGAGATTCCTGACAAACTAAGGAGCCTTGTCGTCAGGTTCCAACAAACTGACGCCAATTTTGGTTCCCAAGTCTACAATGCGAATCCTACAGTTGCATTTTAGAGCCGATTGCATAAGCAGAACCCCAAGGAATCCCGAACCCCAAAGCCGAAAAGCCCCATCTCCCCAAACACAAGCAACCGTGAACGTCCAAAGGTCCTACCACCCCAGCACCAACCCAAAGCCTTGAGCCCACTTTAGCCCATCCCCCTTTACCGACTTGGGGTTTAAGGTTTAGGGGGGTTTTGGGGGGGAAAAACAGCGCGACACAGAGACTCAGAGAGACGCAGAGACAGAGAGACAGAGAGACAGAGAAACAGAGAAACAGAGAGACAGAGAGACAGAGAGACAGAGAGACAGAGAGACAGAGAGGCAGAGAGGCAGAGAGAGAGAGAGAGAGAGACAGAGACACAGAGAGACAGAGAGAGAGAGAGAGACCGAGACACGGAGACACGGAGACACGGAGACACGGAGGCACAGAGGCACAGAGACACAGAGGCACAGAGACACAGAGGCACAGAGAGAAAGCGGCCTGCGGAGCGCCATCGCCCTTGACGCACCAGGCCCACGCGCCTTGGGCCCCCTGCGGTTCGCAAGTGCTTAAGGGATCTTGGGGGGTTCAGGGGTTAAGGCTTAAGGGATTAACGGCCCAATATTCCATCATACCAACATTCCGACGATCCATGCCCTTAGGTCCTTAGGGTCGAACACTACAACTTTGCGGATTTCTCCACGAGGCCATAAGCCCTGGTGTGACTGTGATGAGACTTACAAAAGTTTCAATGTGTGGCCAGGCCAGGTGACAAACGCAGGACCAATGCCCACCCGAAATCCTCCTGAAAGGAATCCCATAAACCGGTAGCCCCCGGCAAACCCCTATACAAATCATGGGCCATTGCACAGACTACCCTCAGCTTAGTTTGCACCATTCCAAACCCTAAGCCCTCCAATTAGGGGCTGAGTGCCTAAACCCTTTAAACCCTAAACCCCGGGTTGCTGCGAGATTGGGGGCTTGGGATTGGGGACTAGAGGTTACAGAGTTTACGGTGTTGCATTGTTTTGCAGTGTTGTATAGGGCTGTACAGGGCTTATTGGGTTGATAGGGTTTAACGGGATAGCCGGGCTTGGGGTATAGCCCAAGTGCCTCCATGCCCGATGTGCAGCCATAGGCCACGAGGCACCACCTCGAGTGCGGCAAAACTGTTGGATCTCAGGGTTTTCAAACTCACAAGGATTGATTTAGGGATCAGGGCTTAGGGGTGTGAGGATTCGGAGTTTGGGCGTTAAAAAATGGTTGGGGCGTACGGGTTCGAGGGGTTTAGGGTTGTAGGCTTGGCTTTGGTTCAGGATGTCAGGTTTAACCAGGGCCTCCAAATACCCAAGTAGATATTATCTGTGGCAGGTGCCCCCTAAACCCCAAAGTTCCAAAGCCTCAACCCTCAATACACCGATCTACACAGTATGCTGTGGAACTTGACGCAACCAGTCTCTCCAAAACTGCTGTTTCTCGCAATCTGCTACGTCGGACTCGAAGCACCACAGGCCACCACACAAATCTACACAGCTCGCTGTGGAACCTGACACAACCTGTGTCTCAAAAAATCGCTGCTCTGGCAATCTGCTGGGTCGGACTCTCGAAACACCACACGACACCACACAGGACACCCTTCACCCACAAAGTAGCGGGAGTCCAATGTTGGGGTTGACAAGTCCTGCACATCCCTAAGCTCCTAAGAATTCCTTTGCTTCAGATTTGAGGTTTGTAGGTTCAGGGGTTTTTGGGTTCTAATTAGGGTTTATAGGGCCAGGCCAAAAGTACCCTGCACACTCATCTCCCCAGCCGCGGGGCGGGGGCGAGAGGCTCTTGTGGTTGGCGCAGCCGGCCGTGACGCCCGCGCCCGCCACGCAGCTGCAGCCCTCGGGCGCGGCGTAGTCAGCCACGGGGGTCAGGAAGACCTCGGCTCTCCCCTATGCAGAGCTTTCAAAAACTCCTGCAAGAGTGTGCAAAAAAAGCATCCCTTCTCTGGTTCGAGGTCATTCCGGAGGTTGAAGGTTGCAAAAGCTTGGGTGCGCTGGCTTGGGTTTGAGGTTTTGGGGGTTTGGGGCTTGGGGTTTGCCAAAAGCACCCTGTCAAACCTGAACACTACCAGTCTTTAAAAAGCCCGCTCAGGTTTAGCGATTGAAGGTTTAAGCAAAGCCAAGCAGCAGTTCCAGACGCCTGCACGGCCATGGTGTCCAGCTGCTCCTGCTTCGAAGGCTCGGGAAAACAGCGGAAAGCCCAAAGGCGCATTAAATTTGAGACACCGATTCGGGCCCCTAAAGTTTTCGGAGAGCCAAAGCCGTGTTAAACTTGAAACACAGATTCGGGCCACAAAGCCCCTCGGAGAGCCAATGCGTGTTCAACTTGAAACAAACACACTTTGAGTTCCCAAACTCCCCTTGGGTCCACAAATTCTCGAAACCAACAAACCCTCAACTTCCTCCTCGTTCCCTCTAGTTACGCTCCAAACTTCTTAAACCCTAAGCCCAAAACCCTAAACCATAAACCCAAAATCTTAATCTCCAAACCTCTCGATTAACCCTAAACCCTAAACCCTAAACCCCAAACCCCAAACCCTAAACCCTAAACCCTAAATTTTTTGGGGGGTGGCTTGGCACCTGGTCCATGTCACGGGTGGCGCGGGACTCGACTTGGGCACCGGAAGCCTCAGAGCAAAGAACCGGGAGGCGCTTTATTTAATAGGGTTTAGGGTTTAGGGTTCAGGGGTTTAGGATTTGGGGTTTAGGAGTTGGGGTTTAGGGTTTGGGGTTTGGGGTTTGGGGTTTGGGGTTTGGGGTTTGGGGTTTGGGGTTTGGGGTTTGGGGTTTGGGGTTTGGGGTTTGGGGTTTGGGCTTTAGGGCCCTGGAAAGGTGGAGACCTATAGAGCCCCTCTAAAGCGCCCGAAAGCCCTCCAACCCTACAAACCCTCCACCTGGGAGGCCCAAAAAACCCCCAAACCCTGAAAACGCTAAACTTAAACCCCAACACCCCAAACCCTAAACCCAAAGGAGCCTAAACCCAAACTGTTGTTGTGGAAGTTTGAAGATTCAGAGCTTCAGAGCTTAAACCTCGACCAAAAGGCCCCGAACCTAAGATCCTGGCCATGCAAAACAGTCGACCACTTTACATGGTTTGGCTAATAGTTCTGGGTCAGGGCCACGTCTAAGGTTTGATGAATCCATCGGAAGTACCATGATGGTCTGGATGGAAGCAGGCCAGCTATAGGTTGCGTCCCGCATCTTCGTCTCCACTTCCTGCTTTGCTTTCACAAGGGTGTGCGGGTTAATGGGTCACGTGTGCTCTCTTAGCTTTTCACATCCCTGAAGGGCTCCTGCACAGCCATGGAGGCAGCTCTTTCATCTGGTTTTCGCGCGCCAACCACCACGAAGTCTACCTGATACGAATGCACGATTGAAGTTCAATACATTTTCCATATATGATAAGTTCGGCACAATTCGCTCACTCAGCAGGCAGCTACAGCTGATGGGCCAGCAAAACTTCCAGAAGTCCCACTGCTGACTCTAGCATCATGAAAAACGTCAAACCTGCTGAATAAGGAAAAACATCAGGGTTTTGTGTGGGAAGTGGCAAGCCGAGCCGCGACGATGGATCCTTGAGAGATCTCTCGTACCTCAGAATGGCGAAACTCGCAGCCACAAGGGACAACGACTGCTACTGACACAAACAAGCGCTACTAGTTTCATCAATGTGGGTCTAGTTTGCAAGCGTCAGAAGCCGAGCCGCAATGACGCGGTCTTCCGAAATGCCAGCCGCCTCCGCCACACCAGTTTTGAAACTTGACCGGAAGCCGTCAATGTCGCGGCTGGCTTCCTCAAAGTTAGCGGGAATGCGGACCCTCACCTCCACAACCGACGCACGTGCGCTGCTCGGCGACACGGAGGGGCTTGGGGTTGGAGAGGGAGAAGGGCTGGTGCCGGACACGGCGGTGGTCACGGTGGTCGTGGTGGTGGGGGTGGTCGTGGCAGGCGTAGGGCTCGGTGTTGGCGTCGGAGTGGGTGTGGGGGTCGGCCGGGGTGTGGGTGCAGGGCAGTTCGAGAAGGCACAGGCCTCGGACTCTACAAAGGGCTGGCACTCACCGCCGCGGGTGCGCATGCGAGTGGCAGCTCCGCACGTGGGGGTGCATGGGCCCCAGGGCTGCCAGGTGCCACACTGCAGGGAGGACGCAGAGTTGGGACAAGCCTCCACACCACAAGCCTCGGAGTCAACGGTGGAGCTACACCCCGACCCTGAGCGAGAGCGGGAGCGCGTCCCTCCATCGCAGCTCGCGCTGCAGGCGGACCAGTCGCTCCACACACCACAGCTTGGAGGAGGCGGGGCCGGGACTGGGCATGCTGTCTGGCTGCAAGCCCCGGATTCCGTGAAAGATTGGCAAGCACCTGTCCGCGACCTTGAACGAGCTCCGCCACCACAGCTGGCCGAGCACGTGCCCCACTGTGTCCAATCCTCACAGATGCACTGCGTGACAAAGCAGGAATCTGACTCGGAGAACGGCGCACAGCCGCCTCCACGAGATCGCATGCGGGTGCCGGTGCCACAGGTTGCGGAGCACGAGCCCCAATTTGCCCACGTGCCGCAGCTGGGCGGAGGAGGTGGCGGGGGTGGTGGGGGCGGTGTTGGGGTTGGGGTTGGGGTCGGACTGGGGCTGGGCATCATGGGTGGCGGCGGCGAAGGACTCGACCAACCCCAAGCTGCACGCGCGAAGGGATGCCCGAGAAGTTCTGCCATCATCTTGGAGCCACCATCCATGACCAGCATGCCAGCTATGGCGGACAAGACTGCTCCATGTGAAAGGGAAGGCATGGCAGCAGACCTGCCAGCACTGGTGGCAAAGCCTGCTGAGCTCCTCCGGAGCTGCTACGCTTGAGGCAAAGGAATCCTTGGCAGACTTCTGAACCCCTCCTAAAAGTTAAACTTTTAGCCCCTTTATTGTAGTTATAAGGAAACCCAAAAAGTTAAAGTCCTAAGAGCCAACCAGAAGACAGCCAAGGGAAGTCACAAAAACACTCCAATCGCATCTCATGATATCTCATGGTACATGAAGTTGAAGCAGGCGTGCAAGCTTTACATGGCATGTAGCATCAGGTGCAAACTGTCAGTGTGTCCCGGCCTCAACATGAAGATCCGATTCACCGTGTACTGCGTGCCGATTTTGCCTCGGGAACATGCTGAAACGTCACGAAAACCCCAAGCGTAGACTCTGAGCAGTCATACCGAAAAGTGCCGCAAGCCCAACCAAGCCCTGCAAACCTTCAAATACTCCCATGCAAAGCCCCATAAAGCCCCACGTCAATGCCAGCCAACCTCAGGACCTCCCAGCCCCGCTAGGCTGAGCAGCAGGCTCTTTGAGCATCGTTCGCAGATCATCCTGGCGTTCCTGGAGGGTTTGGGATTTCGGGCTCAGGGGATAGGAGCTCCAGACTCGTAATGGGTCCCCAAACGTCAGAGGTACAACCTGAGGTTGTGCCGTAAGACCTTGCAGCAGCACCCCCCTTAACAAATTACACCGGAAGCCGCAAACACAAGGGCCGCTGATCCCCTCCCCATAAATCCAGCATATATCCAAAACAGTTACGCGAAAAGGGAGCGAACATTTTCCGAGCACCCTGAACCCTGAAGCCTAACCTGACCTAAATCTCACCCTGATGCTCCTGAAACGTTGACCCTGAACAGCCCTACATGCCAGTTCGCCCAAATCCATCCAACGCGCAAAGCGCCTCGCGCAGGCGCTCACGCCGCTGGCGCTGCTGAACCATCCTCCAGGGGAGGTACGTAGGGCGGAGCTAGGGGGGGTTGGGGTCTTGGGTTTGAGGGCTTGACGGTGCTTGCGGCTTCGGGTTGCTTGACCCGTGATTTTGCTTAGGGCCTTAGGGTGTAAGGTTTGCTGGGTAGGGTTTCGAAGACCGCGGCTGCCCCTTAGACCTCTCAGCTCCCAAAACTAGTTTTTATGGTTGAAAAAACCTACCGGATTGGATGGACACTGCGACAGCAACACTTTCCCTGGTCTCCTCCATTGACACGGCATGGTCGCAAATCACGGGTGTTGAAGCAATGTATTGCGTGATTGAAAACTGAAGTTCTCGGCAGAGTCGCGCACGACAAGGCCCCACTTCACTCTAGCCCTGGGTCTGCTCACACGTGTTGTTGCAAAGATGTCGCCAAAACAGCTACGGAAACAGATGCACTCAGCAGAGTTGGAATACACACACACACCAAAATATTCGTCGAAGCACAGCACACTCAACCCCAAACCGAGGGTACGCTCGGCGTAACACCGTCCGTTGGTCATACGGCCCTGCTGTTCACTGCAACTCAACACCGCAAATCAACAAGGAACATATGTAATTTTGACAGCTTCATGTGCTGAAGATCCACGCTGCCTTTTCTAATCCTTGCCCTAAGTGTTCAGTGACGGTGAGCTGATCGCTCCAAATCACCTGCGCCAAGCCGTGACTTGTGTTAAGTCTGGCAAGCAAAATTGAAAAGAAGGTGGCAGGCTAGCACTCCTCCACGATGCCTTCTTTCAACCTACAGCTGGGACATTCATTGAGGGTATCGCTTTTGGGGTTACGTATCGCTTTCCCAATAATACCGCACCGCCAAGTCATGGAGCACCAGGGACTCTTAACCAGCCGATTTTAAGCCACATGCAATGCGTCAGCAAGGAAGTCAACTCAAGGAGCTGACTCGTATCTGCGATTATCGTTTTTGGGGTTATAGGTATCGCTTTCACAGCAAAACTGCAAATGTCCCGCCCAAGGCTACCTGGAGAGGCGCGGGATTTAGCCAGTCGCTCACCTTGAGTCACAGTGCCCGAGCCAGCAGTAAAACAACGGCACGCGCGCGAGCCATTTTGGCTAGAGGAGCAGCAAGCAAGGCTGGCGCATTCATGTTTGTGCTGAGTAGCTGTCGTTTTTTGTAATGTATGTATCCCTTCTCAAGAACAACTGAGCTGTGGCATGAAATAGCAAACCCTTCCACGAAACCCTTCCGCGGTCCTTCCGCAAGTCCTGTTCCTACTCGTCCGCTGTGTATGTTTCCGCGGACGCTTCCGCGAGCTCACTTCGTGCGGATTTGAGAACTTGCCTCCGCGAGTAGGTCTGTAAGGTATAAACTCGAACACGTGTTGGGTGGCCCAAACGAGCTCGACGAAGCACTGCTGAAACTTCGAGCGGTTGCATCGCCCAAACCCACTACCAACACTCAAACCAGAATTGTTTATAGCCTGGCTTCCGCGGAGATCCACTTCCGCGTGCTTAGGTGCACTTTCGCGCCCCGTTTTCCAGAATAATCTCCGTACGCAATTAACTTGCAAGAAAGGCCAAGAACCAACGCTGCTCAATTGGGGAAGCCAAGGGACGAGGCATGCGCAGCCCCTCAGCTGTGCTTTGTACTAATTACAGGAAACAGCAGGGCCCTCAAACGTAGGGCAGGAGCCAAGGTGACCACGGAACAGTAACACGGGGCAGATTGGGGCGGTGTTGCGAATGTACATACCGCACTCCTTAAACCTCAAAACAGAAACTGCGGATCCAACAACCTCAGCAAAGAAAGGTAAAACCTGTTTATGGCAGTTTCATTCTACAGAGACTCTTGGAAAAATCCCCTCCAAACCTAACACCTAAAGACCTAAAGCCCCAGAGACTATTTTGGGGCCGCACTGGCGCGAGGGCTACTACCCCCAGCTTCACGACCCTAAATACCTAACCTCTGTCATCCGAGGCTCGCTGCCGGTGAGCTGGAGCTCTCAAGTGCGCCTAGAGCCACTGCATTGGCATGATGTCCAATCACAGTAGTACTTATACAACTGACCATTAAAACAGCCACCTCAATTCTACACTTTCCTCAGAATTTGCCTGCGAATAAGATGTCCAATAGTCCAGAAGTTCAACCCACGTTGTTGTTGTTGTTGCTGTTGTTGTTGTTGTGGAATGTCAGTGAATGTGCAATAGGCATATCCAAGCCGCGCCAATCAGTCATCTGCAGCCCCACGGGCGGGCACCAGTCAGGCTAGCACAAACAAGAAGTCCATCCACGTGCACAAGCGGAGTAGCTTAGCAAGCCGAGGATCCAAAGTGATCAAGAGTCCACATGCTGATCAAGCAGTGAGTGCAATGCAAAAAATGTTGTTGTTGTTGTTGCTGTTGCTGCTGCTGCTGCTGTTGGTTCGACCTGTCGCCCTGCTAAGGCAGTGACTAAAACTCCACTGCTTCCAAGCGCCAGTTCTTGCAGCTGTCTTGGCCTCTTCTGGTAGGGCCTCTTTTGCGCCCTCGCACGCCCGACCTAATGGGATTGTGACGATTTAAGGCCCGGCCCTAACCATTCCTTGTTCTTATTGAAGCCCTCACAGGGTGAAAGTAATTGGTGTTCTTGAAACCTGCCCCAAACCCCGAAACTCAAAGCCTGAACTCTACACCCTGTCCAGTCCTCCAGGGCGAGCGAGGCCAGCTCCCTACTGCAGAGCAGGCAGTAGTAGGGCGCAGCCTGCTGTCAGTTCTTACTAGGCTTTGACTTCGGGGATCTGGACACAAGGAAGTGGGGCGTCGGGGTGGAGGGCGCCAGCCCAAACCCCGTCTTCAGACGTCCCAGGGATCCTGATTGCAAAGACAACAAAATGGAGCAAGCTCCACACCCGTGCCCTAAATCATCGGCTTTTCGGGCACCCGAAAGCTGCAAGGGATATATCCCACCTACAATGGAGGCCGAGGGCCTGCAATCATTGAGAGGCCCTCCTCTTAATCCTATAAACTCTTGAGTCTTGCCTCCTAAGCCCTGTTGGACAGCAAATTCCTCTTCCCTAGCAGCCGTCGGGCGGCCGTGCATCAGAGTGTTTCTGCTTTCCCTTCTCTGGCAGTCATGTTTCATCGTCAGTGTGCGTCTGTCGGTCGTCGTGTACTGCTTTGTTGGTCGGCCTCCTCGTCGTTGCCTTGTGTGCGTTTCTGTCAGACTCCATGATGAGCCTAAAAGTTTAGCAGCTTTGTTTTGATTCATGTGGGCACGCTGATTTTTCACAACAGGATTTTGGGGATCAGGACCAAGTTGATAACACGCTGCGTCGCGGGATTGTCTGCGAAACTTTCACGAATCGAGTTCGAGCGCGGAGGCGATAAAGCACCCGCTATAGGCGGAACTTGTTTGGCGCGTTTGCAGCTGGGGTCTCGGCCAACTTCGTTCAAAAACAGCGTGATGGACGAACGAAGTGACGAATCATCAGCGAGTGCTTCTTTTATCGGGAATCCAACGATCTGCTGCTGGCCTCGCCTTGTGCTCCGCACATGCTAACACTGCACTGCGCTACCCTGATCAGGCTTGCGACTTCTGCGTTTAGGCCTCAGGTCGGGTCTGCGGTTTACATTTCCATCTACGGCGGCTCTATTGCTCTCAGGGCGAGATTTTGGGGGCTAAAGGTTTTTTGTCTGCTTTTGATTCTGGGGGGGGCAGGGCTGAAGGGGCCGAGAGCGAGGGGAGTTGGAAGGGGAACTGTAACTGCAGTCGCTGGACCTTAGTCTAACCTCAAAGCTGGTTTTAAAGCTCCGTGTAACAACAATAGGAGAAACACGCCCGGCCCTAATGTCTGAGCATGGCTGGCTAACCTCCAGGTGAAGCCATTTGGCTTCAAACGTCTTCCCAATAAGCTCACCGCCATCCCCCAGTAAAGCCTCAACCCTAAACTCCAGAGTCGGGCCACTGGCCTGCGGCTCTGTGCTGAGCCTGCCAGCTGGAGACTTTCCAAGGGATTGAAGTTGGACTTAAGTTTGAGCTCACAACATGTCGCAGGGCACCTGCTTTGCGCTTCCCGACTTGCACAAAATGCTCAACATTCCGACCTCGAACCCTCAAACTCCCAAAGTCTTTGACCTCCAAGGAATCAATGAATCTGTTCAACTACGCAGCCTCCTGGGTCTCCCACAACACGGCACCACCAACATCTTCATCCTGGGGCAAAACAAGCTTCACCAACAGCAAAAGCTAACAAACTGCACTTGTGCAACACGCCGCGACGCACATCATCGAGATGGCCTCAAGAATGGCGAAAGGCAGCAGAACCAGAGCCTGCCAGATCTTGAGATATTCGAGCTATGTTCACACAAGGTCGTGCCCAAGCGGAGTAACCTTCAACTTATAAATCCTAATTCACCAAGTAGGTGTCCCTGCCGAGTCCTAAGTGCAGCCCAGTCACTGGTGCAACAACGTGAGGTGCTGGATCGCCACGCGAAGTTCTTCGACTGAAGCTTGGATATTGGCCAGTGACCTTGTGATTGCGGACTTCATTTCCTTACCCAAAACCGCAAAGTTTACAAGCGCATCAGAACAGATTCAGAAGCCATGAACCCGAAACTGCCCCAAGCCTAACTTTGAACTCTAGCACCCCAAAACCTCAACCCTCGAGACCCAAAGCCTGAAATCCTTGAACAGACAACCATGCTTGTAGTCGGGTTGGGACACCTCCGCGTCAGATCCGCTGTCAAGCCGGAAAACAGCCTCACCGAGGCTGTTGTTTCTAGGCTTCCAGGCTTGAAGGGTTGAAGGGCTTCAGGGAACCGTTTAAGGCTTACGTAAGGGTTCGCGACTTCTGTGTCTAGGCCTGCAAGCTGGACACTTTCTCAGTGAGGTCCGCGATCGCGCAGGCGGTGGCTGCGCTGCTGGCGGACCTCTTGCACCCTCCTCGGTGTGCGGCGTCTGCCGCGCTCTCCCGCAGTAGATGCGCCATGGTAAGATGAGCAGCGCAACAAACCCTTTGTTTAACTTCACAAGGAGGGTGTAGGGGCTAGACGGGCCAACAAAAGCATGGAAGCATGTACTGCGTAAAAGCATGGGGAGGTGGGGGCGGTTGCCGGAGTAGATCAAGGCTAATGTTTATATGCGCTGTCTCATGTCACATGAAATGAGCTCAGGAAGAAATGTTGCCGTGGTTGCCTTCTAGTCGACCCTACCACAGTCCAAGATCGAACCTCAGGATGTTTCCGGGCAGGGTTAGCTGTGGTTAGCTTACTTTGTGCTTCCAGGCATCCGTCTTCGGTTCTGCCACGCGAACCCACAAGTCGAGCCAGTCAGCGTTTGTTAGGGGGACCCCGCTCTCCGAAAAGGAGTCATGCAGCACCAGGCATTCATTAGAAGTGCTGCGCTTTTACCCTGGCTGTTTGAAATGTGCTCTCCAGCCCTTCTCCCTGAGGCTCACAGCTACTTGTTCCTTGACCCCGAACACACCGCTACTTTGCACCCTGAACCTCTATGGGACAGTCAGGACCCACAGCTGAATTCTCAACTTCTCTTGCGAATCCAACACCAAGAACTGCTGACGCTGAGGCTTGGTAAGAGCGCACAAACACTTTTAAGATTGCATCTGCAGCTCGCCTCGAGCGCTCGTCTCAACGATGCTGCACTCGGCGACGTCGGAGGGCTGGAGCTCGAACATGGTCTTCGGGCCCACGCCTAGGCCACGGCAGTTGATGCGCTCCGCGTGTTCAGGCTGGTCGAAGCAAATGGGGAGAATCACTGTTGGCACACCAGGCCTCAGCGAGGCGTTGGGGGTGCCTGCGCCACCGTGGTGGACGATGGCGCAGCAGCGTGGGAAGAGCACTCCATGTGGCGCGTACTTCATGAACAGAGCCCTGTTCTCGCAGCAAGCTCGCAGCGCCTGCGCATCCGGCTCCCCCTCCACCAGATCCAATGACATGTCTGACCACGCTGCGCAGAAGATCCCACGAAGACCGGTGCGCTGGAGAGCTCGCAAGCACAGAAGGGTCATGAACTTGGAATCACGGGCGATCATCGAGCCGAACCCAAAGTAAACTGGGCGGGAGCATCATTCTCATGTAGCCAAAGCATCTGCAGGTCCTGAACCAATTCTTGCCAGCAGTCGGGCTCACGCCGCAGGCATCTGAACAGCAGGGACGCCCACTGCTGCCGCTGAAGCTTGCTAAGTGACAGCACAACATTTTTTAGATGACACGTGCAGGGCACCAACTTCTCTAAGCTGCTGTCGCTGCTGGGTTCCGAAAGCAGATCTTCCATCAGGCCCAGCATGTCTTCTGCGATCAGCTGCTGCACAACAGGGAGGCTCGCACCTCCACACGAGTACCACTGGAGAGCCCGGTGTGCAGCCCTGCATACCGTTGAATCGTCGGCACGGCAGTGCCAAAGCAAGTCTCGAACGTTCTTCCGAAGGATGCAGCGGACGTCAGCTTCAGCAAAGTGGGTTGTGCTGGCACCTGCCAGCACCATGCACCACAAACGACCTGGGATTGAAAAAACGGTCTCAGCACAGCCCCTCCCCACACCCCTTCCCCCCGCGCACCTGCAAACCCAACACTCGCATCATGAGCTTTAGGGGTTGGGGGGGAGGGAGGTGCAACGCAGTTGCATGATGGGAAGGGCTTCATGTGCTTTGAAGCAAGCTTGCAGGGCTTGAAATCGGCAATTCATTTGCCGCGAAACAAGTTTGCACGGCTTAGCTTATGCGGCCTAAAAACGCGAGAGGGCTTAGATTCTGCTCCCCCATTTCCAAACATGATGGGTTCTGGAAGGAATCAGAAGTGTGCTTTTGAAGCAAGCTTGTAGGCCTTCGAAGCAAGTTTGCACGGCTTGAAGGAAGACAACGTGGGGTGGCGCAACATTTGCAAACACAATGCTCCCCCTCATTCGCAAACACGATGCTGATGGGCTTCGAGGCAAGCTTGCACGGCTAACAAGAAACGCGGGGAACAATGCTGGCATGATCGGTTTGGAAGGGGTTCATTTGCTCTGAAGCAAGCTTGCGCGGCTCAAACACAAGGGGGGTTTTGGGCAAACACAATGCTCGCATGATGGGTTTGGAAGGGGTTCTTCAAATTCTTTGGAAGCAAGCTTGTGCGACTTTAAAAAATGTGTTTTCGAGGCAAGCTTGCAAGCTTGCTTAAACAAACGGGGTGCATTTGCAACACAAGCGCAAAAAATATGAGCACACACCTGACGCGCCGCACGCGGCAAGCCTGAAAGACGCAACACGGAAAGATGGACATCCTGGAAGCCGATGAATAAACAGATCAAGAGGCAACCGAAGAACTTCTGCAGCTCGACATCGCCTCCACGGGCCGTGGTGATGCCGAAGCCGGGGTTGTCAGCAATATTCGCCATGCTAGCATTGACAACATCAGTAACTGCTTCGGACCTGTGGAGCACAGATCACGGCCGTTTGCAGTGCATGGCTCGCACCCTGAGGGCATGCCCCGATTCTCTCGCGCCTGTCCAGCCGGCCCATCTCGGCCACGTGATCTAGCAAGGCCTAGCCACGCTCGTATCGGCTGGACGAGTTACTGGGGTCTAGTGGAACTGATATGTGACATATGTGGAACCAATTTTGAAGTTAAGTTCCATATGCCTTGGGGCTCCTGGTCTGCTGGGAGATCACACGCCAGCGCAACAAATCATCCACCTGCAGCAGCGCATAGAAGTGCACATAGAAGTGCACTATCGCCGGGACTTCTAAAATCCAAATCGACAGGTGCAGCCACTCGTTACTCTTTGCGAAGACAAGGCGCAGCAAGGTATGGAAACAGATCTGGCCTCCGGCTGGTGCGACGCGTCTCAATTGTTACATAGTGCTACATACGGTTTACACGTCTTGTCCAGACTCTGTGGGCGCAATTCTATGCAAGAGGATCCCATGCAGTCCGAGGTGCAACAGGAGCTTGTAGGGATCCCATTCCACGGCGCCGCCCTGGGAACGAACTGGAGAAAGGAATGCCAGCTGCCGGGATTGAGGCTGGAACTTTGTACCTTGTGATCTCTGAGCTGGCCTCCCAAGAAACCCCAAAAAAATCGAAGCAACGACCGCGCTTTATCGTTGATGTCCCAGCCGCGCATGGGCGTTCGGAACAAGCCCTCGCGCAGGTCTCCGGCCAAGACGACGGGTCCTGGGGAAGCGCATTGAAGAGCATACAACAAAAATGGCAAAGCATGGCGCCGCCAAGCTGGGCCAAGCTGACAAGTTGGCCCGGGAGCCTGCGCTGCAACCTGCATCCCATCCAAGACCGCTGGAGAGGTAGTGCCACATGTCCTGAAAGGGATTCGAGCAGATTTACAGGCATGAGGCTCCTTCCGCACCCAAAACAACCCTTTGCAGCAACCTCAGCACGCTGCTCACACAACCACTCACAAGCAGGCAGGGTCACTCAGGCAATGGCTCGTGAGGCTCGTGCTTCTGCATCTCCAGCGGCTGCTCAAGGTCAGGCGGCTGGTTTCGCATGAGCTCCAACTCGGACTTCAACTGCCCGGTTTGGGCTTCGAGAGCGCTTGACCTGGGACTTGCTGCGGTTTGACGGAACCGCCCACATGGGAGCAGTCCTGCTTAAGCATCGCTTTGGCGCTGCTCTGGTCTGGACCACAACAAGTGCCGCAGGGTTCAGCTTCTAAACTCAAGCCAGGCAGCCAATACTGGCACGATGCCCAATGTGCTGATGTCTGCCAAACAAGGAAGCCAAGAAAAGCCAAGAAGAGGAAGGCCTCCGATTCACTCGCCGCCCGGCTTCCAGTACTGAGCAGCATTAGACATACACAGGTGTTGACCTCGGAGAAAAAACACAGGGCGTGACATACCCGGGTGTTGACCTCGGAGAAAAAGCACAGGGCGTGACATACACGGGTGTTGACCTCGGAGAAAAAACACAGGGCGTGACATACACGGGTGTTGATCTCCGAAAAAAAACACAGGGCGTGACATACACGGGTGTTGACCTCCGAGGAAAAAAACAGGGCGTGACATACACGGGTGTTGACGTCGGAGAGAAACACAGGTCGTGCCATACACAGGTGCTGACCTCAGAAAAAAGCACAAGGCGTGACATACACGAGTGTTGGCCTCGGAAAAAAAACACAGGTCGTGACATACACGGGTGTTGACCTCGGAGAAAAAACACAGGGCGTGACATACACGGACGTTAACCTCGGAGAAAAGCACAGGGCGTGACATACACGGGTGTTGACCTCGGAGAAAAAACACAGGGCGTGATATACACGGGTGTTGACCTCGGAGAAAAGGACAAGGCGTGGCATACACGGGTGTTGCCTTCGAAGACAAACCACAGGGCATGATATACACGGGTGTTGACCTCGGAGAAAAAACACAGGGCGTGACATACACGGGTGTTGACCACGGAGAAAAGCACAGGGCGTGACATACAGGGGTGTTGACCTCGGAGGAAAAGTGACATACAGCGTGTTGACCTCGGAGCAAAGCACAGGGCGTGACAGACACGGGTGTTGAATTCGGGCGTGACATACACGGGTGTTGACTTCGGAGACAAACCACAGGGCGTGATATACACGGGTGTTGACCACGGAGAAAATTCGCAGGGCATGACATACACAGGTGTTGACTTCGGAGAAGAGCACAGGGCGTGACATACACGGGTGTTGACTCTTCGGAGAAAAACACAGGGCGTGACAGACACAGGTGTTGACCTCGGAGCAAAACACAGGGCGTGATATACACGGGTGCTGACCTCGGAGGAAAACACAGGGCGTGACGTACACGGGTGTTGACCTCGGAGAAAAGACACAGGGAGTGACATACACGGGTGTTGACCTCGGAGAAAAACCACAGTGCGTGATATACACGGGCGTTGACTTCGGAGAAAAAAACACAGGGCGTGACATTCGAAAGCACAGGGCGTGACATACACGGGTGTTGAGCTCGGAGCCAAAACACAGGGCGTGACAGACACGAGTGTTGACCTCGGAGGAAAACTCCGGGCGTGACATAGACGGGTGTTGACCCGCGACATACACGGGATTACACGGGTGTTGACTAGGATCTTTTTGCAAGGACACCATAAGCTTTCGTGCTAGGTGTTGAGTGTGTAAGGACTTCTTCGGCCCCGCAGAGTGCGGTGCGCCTCCTCCAAATTGCCGTCGTTGGCTGGACTTCCTGAGCTCTGCCCTAGGCTCTGCCTCAGCTGCCAGAAGAAGCCAGGTGGTTTGGGGTAGTGTAGGGTTTGGGGGCAGAGCCCAAGGCCTACATGGGGGGCTGTTCCAAGACATCATTGGCCCCTTTCTTCTCTGGAACTATATGGAGCACACTCCAGGTTCTCAATTCCTATTTCTAAGGGTGGCATGAAAACAAGACGTGCGGAGGCACGTATCAGCCATCATGCATGAAACAGCACTAGAACCCCAGAAAGAAGCATGAGGAGCCTACAAACCCCAGGCCCTGGACAGGCACGTTGCAATCAGGACAGAGTTGATGGTGGCTGCGGCTCTGCTGGAACCCCAAAGCCCAAAGCGTTGCACACATGCACGTTCTCCCCTGCTCCCCGTCGCGCTGACTTGCAAGATAAATTGGGTGCAGAGGGTCAACAGGAGAAAAGACAAGAAGAGCAAGAAGAAGAAGCAGCAACATCTTGCAACACAAGTGTCATCCCCAACATCCCGACGCAATGCCATGACTTCAGCATCCCGGCAGCCCACGCGTCGCCGATGCTCCCGCTATGCACTCAGCAGGATTTTGAGAGAGAGAACTTCTGGGCTGGAGAGCATGTTGCTGCTGAGAAACTCGACGGGCTCGTGATGCTCGTGGCAACCATGCGCACGCCCCAGCTCCGTCTGGGCTTTCGGAACCTTAGCTTGACATTCATGGCAGCAGATCAGGGATGCCCCGAGAGGCAGCAGCCTTGTGGGGAGGGGTCAACTTCCCGCACATGAGGGGCACCCGGGCTCCAAATGGCTCCAATCTAAGAATCTGAAGGTGCCTTGACAAAGTTACTGCGACTCAGCACCGGCAAGTTCCGGCAAGTGTGATCAAATGCACAACGCTGCGCTGACGAGCACTTGTAACCAGGCACACATCACGTGAGTCGTATTGAGTCCTAACAACAAAGACTTGTGTCAGCTTGCGCAGTAACTGAGGAACCGGTTCAAAGGCGCTCCAGTCGTCAATGCTCCAGACATCTTGGTCCTACGACTTCAGTGGCTGACAGACTTTATCACCATCCCTAAACACATACTGCCATGGCTCGCAGATACCAGCAGGGCACCTCGACCCACTCCCTCTTCCCGGCTGCACTGATCACTCAAGAACACGGTGCCCCTTCGCTCCTGCTGGTCATCCACGTTCTCCTCATCACCCACATTAAAGAAGTCGCAGTCGAGATTCCGGCGTGCAGGGTCATCAATGCACCTCGTTCGTTCCGCAATAGCAATCTTGCTGCTGCCTGACTCGCTTTGTCAATTTGTGTTTGCATGAGGTTCTCTCAAATAAGCTGAGCAGCGGCCTTGGAGACGGCACATCCCAGACCTTTTGCTTCTTTTTGGTGTTTGGACTTGTGGAACAAGATGTGAGAAAGCGCTTTCTCTTCACCTTGCTCTGCATCTTCGCACCCGCAACTTCATACCTCAGAACACATTGCGAACGATCCTGCCCAATGGGTTATCCCTCCTCGGTTTTCAAGAGAGGCCCGTGGACAGCAAGGCACCCTGAGGAGCGCAGATGTGGCATGGACTAAGTTAAGTGCGATAGAAGATCGTCAACGGGGACGGGGTTGGCACCTCATGATTTATCTACATTCTGTCATCTCATGCCGGAAGGGGGAGGCAAGAAGGGGAGAGAATAAACTTAAAAAACAAACACAACTCCCAAGAACGGCATATGTACAAAAAAAATCTCTCAGCCCACCCACCCCCCACAGACCCATCCCCAGCAATTAAACATCAGCTCTCTTGATGAGAACTCGTGCTGGCAAGAATCTGAACTTGGAGCTTGCATATCTGGCGTTCAAGGCTCGCAATGCGGGCAGCAATCGCACCAGATGATTGCTCTTGTCGTTCGTAGACCTTCTGCAGCAAAGTGTCCAGCCTGGGCCAATCACACAAGTGCTTGCTAGCGCTGCAAACGACAGCGAGGTTCCACGATGGCTGCCACAACGCAGGAAACCATCTCAGACCCGGACGAGGTCAGCGAGGTTATCTGCGGCTGCAAACCTTCAAAACTTTCATCAAAGGACTGCGAGTCACCAGACCTCAGTTCACTTTGGACAGGCAAGGCATCGGCAAGGCATTGGTTGGTGCCGGCTGCAAAAACTCCGGCAGCTACGTAGCGGACATGGAATGGTCGATCTCCCTGTTCTTCAATGCTGTTCAAGAACTTTTAACTGCTTGTTCTTTCCATGTTTTCACACCCGTGAACAATTCAGCCTATGCAGCAAACAAATCTGCCCGGTTTGTCGGTTCTCAAAAGCCCCCAAAGCGAGCTCATGTTCGCAAGTCTCTTCGCTGTCATTATCAGTATACCATGCTTCAGCTCCTCCGGAGCCTGGAAATCCAGCCAGCATCAGCAAGCCATCAGGAGAGAAGTACAGTATTCTCACATAAGAATGACACGGCCAAATTGTATTGTAATCGTCCGAGTAGTCTAATTATGTCTAAGTAGTAGTACAGCCAGTACAGCATTGCACGACGCGCTGTAGCAACGCAGCATTGCACGCCTAAGCCTCACGCGAGGAGGCAGCCATCACATCTTCGGGCACATCCTTCCACTGCAGCGATGCCTTGTACTCTGGTGGGTTTAAGGTTTAGGGTTTGGGGTGGAAACCAAAACCAAAATTCGACCTGCTGTGACCCTGCCATGGACTGCATACTCAACGAAAGCACGCTTCTGTATAGCAGAGCTTAACACGGGCCAGCAGTGACAAGAAGCGACTTGATTTTCAAAAGCCCTTGGCACTCGCAATCTTCTCTCACCAGCGACAAAATGCAGCACAGCGCAAGACACTCTTCAACCAGGCCTCGTCATGCCTCTCACACAAGAACTGCTGCAGAAGTCGCTGAGCTGTGGCATCAGTTGCCAATCCCATGGCGACGATAAACTGATGGGTTAAAGGGTGGGTGGGTGGGTGGGGTGCCTCAACTAAACAAGGGCTCATGCCGATTTATTTCATGGAGGAAACCCAAATCAGGTGTACTTGGGTTAGGTCGTACCGTTCACCTCAAGCGGTGCAAGTCCTGAGTTCACAAGCAAGCTGAGCGTTTCGCGTTGCTGGTGTGTGACACGCTGGGCTTCTACTGGAGTTGGGGAAGATATAGCTGCAGTGTATAAGTCCCTTTGAAAATTCAGTAGTTGCATGTCAAGTTCTAAAAGTGTACTGTGATGTCAATGTGATGGGTTAACTGTATGAACATGTATGATCTTCAATGCTCGAGGCCAATCGTTTTAGGGCTTGGTAGAGGTTTAAGATCTTAGGATTTCGGCTCAATGTTCTAAGCCATGCAAGCGAGATAACGGAACTGAATCATTGGGGAACACCTGCACAGGCCTGAGTGGCCAAAAAAAAAGGAGGCCCCTGCTTCCTACTTTTTAGACCGCAACCTTAAGCCCAAAACTTCCCAAAAGAATTTTAAGTTCGACCCCCGTACAGCAACACTGATGTAGTCGAAACAAGAAAGGCTTTGGCCACCCAGCCATGTTAACGATAAAATTAGGGTGACCTTTTTTCGCGCTAGCTCTAAAGGGGCCCAGAACCGAAAAGCGGCAAACCGGTACCACTGGACCACCAAGAGGCACGTCTTAAACAGGCTAGTGGCTGGTACTGTGTGGAGGCCGTAGGTTGATAAGTCTTGGGGGCCTTAGGGCCTTAGGGTCGCACTGAAAGAGCGCAGAACGCATTGATCACACCTTGGCGCAAGAAAGTCACGTCGATGGGTTGCGCTGCCACAATCTCCAGCCTTTAGAAGTTGCTGGGAGCCGGCCAGCCCTGCGCGGCTTGGGACTGAGCGTACCGCGTGTACGAAGGATGCTGCCGGTGTCCAGATTCGCCCAGCATGCACGTTGATCCGCTTACAGTGGCGGTTTTCAAGTGTCACCCTGAACCTCTATAGGACAGTCAGGACCCACAGCTGAAATCACAACTTCTCTTCCGAATCCAACACCAAGAACTGCTGACGCTGAGGCTTGGTAAGAGCGCACAAACACTTTTAAGATCTTTTAAGATTGCATCTGCAGCTCGCCTCGAGCGCTCGTCCCAACCATGCTCCACTCGGCGACGTCGGAGGGCTGGAGCTCGAACATGGTCTTCAGGCCCATGCCTCGGCCACGGCGGCTGACGCGCTCCGCGTTCAGGCTGGTCGAAGCAAACGGGGAAAATCACTGTTGGCACACCAGACCTCACTGAGGCGTTGGTGGACGATGGCGCAGCGTGGGAAGAGCACTCCATGTGGCGCGTACTTCATGAACAGAGCCCTGTTCTCACAGTAAGCTCGCGGCGCCTGCGCATCCGGCTCCCCTTCCACCAGATCCAATGACATGTCTGACCACGCTGCCCAGAACATCCCACGAAGACCGGTGCGCTGGAGAGCTCGCAAGCACGGAAGGGTCATGAACTTGGAATCACGGGCGATCATCGAGCCCCAAAGTAAACTGGGCGGGAGCATCATTCTCACGTAGCCAAAGCATCTGCAGATCCTGAACTAATTCTGGCCAGCAGGCGGGCTCACGGCGCAGGAATCTGAACAGCAGGGACGCCCACTGCTGCAGCCGAAGCTTGCTCGAAGCCTTCGAAGCCGAAGGGCCCAGGGGGGGGGAGGAGAGAGGGGGGGGGGGGGGGGGGGGGGGGGGGGGGGGGGGGGGGGGGGGGGGGGGGGGGGGGGGGGGGGGGGGGGGGGGGGGGGGGGGGGGGGTGAAGGTCTGAAGGCTTCGAAGGTGAGGACGCCTTCGAAGGGTGAGGGCGAAGGCTTCGAAGGCGGGAGGACGAAGGGGCTTGGAAGGCTTCGAAGGTGAGGACGAAGGGGGCTTCGAAGGCTTCGAAGGCGAGGACGAAGGGGGAAGGGCTTCGAAGGCTTCCAAGGTGAGGACGAAGGCTTCGAAGGCTTCGAAGGGTGAGGACAAAGGGGGGGGGGCTTCGAAGGCTTCGAAGGGTGAGGACGAAGGGGGCTTCGAAGGCTTCGAAGGTGAGGACGAAGGGGGCTTCGAAGGCTTGGAAGGTGAGAGACGGGGGCATTCACTTCTCTGAGTTTCGAAGAATGAGATCCAAAAATGAGATCCAAAGAACAAAACAATATTCGGGGGGGTGGAATTTAGAAGAAGAAGTCCCTTCTCTCTCATCTTCAAAAAGAAATTGCATGCCTTCGAAGGACAAGAAATTGAGGGAGTGGAATTTAGAACAATTCTCCACTCTTCTCTTCCACAGGCTTCGAAGGACAACAAGAAACTGAGGGGGGTGGAATTTAGAATAATTCTCTTCTCTTCTCTTCTACAGGCCTTCGAAGGACAAGAAATTGAGGGGGGTGGAATTTAGAATAATTCTTCACTCTTCTCTTCCACAGGCTTCGAAGGACAACAAGAAACTGAGGGCGTGGAATTTAGAATAATTCTCTCCTCTTCCCTTCGATTCTTCTCTCTTTTTTTCGAAGGGGGGGGGGGGGCTACGCGCCCCCCCCACACCCCCGCCCGGAAAGCTTGCCCCGGAGGGGGAGCATGCACCGAAGTCAGCCAAGTCAACGCTGTCGGAAACCTTCAATTCCAACTCTTCCCTGAACTCCAACAAAAAAACCGCCTCTCAGTCCAAGTCTTCCAAGCTGAGGTCCGAAACCCCAAATTGCAGAAGCCATGGTTTCAAAAAGCTTCGAAGGCTTCAAAGGTGAGAGCGAAGAGGCTTCGAAGGCTTCGAAGGCAAGGAACAACGGGGAGAGGCTTCTTCGAAGGTGAAGACGAAGGGGCTTCGAAGGCTTCGAAGGCGAGGACGAAGGGGGGCTTCGAAGGCTTCGAAGGGTAAGGACGAAGGGGGCTTCGAAGGCTTCGAAGGTGAGGACGAATTTAAGGGGGCTTCGAAGGCTTTGAAGGCGAGGACGAAGGGGGAAGGGGCTTCGAAGGCTTCGAAGGTGAGGACGAAGGGGCTTCGTCCTCGCTTCGAAGCCTTTGAAGCCTTCGAAGGCCCCTTCGTTCTCATGAGCCGAAGGGGGGCTTCAGACCTTCACCCCCCTTCAACCCTTCGCCTTCGAAGGCTTCGAAGGCTTCGAAGGCTTCGAAGGGGAGGATGAAGCCCCTTCATCAACTGAAGCCCCCCCTTCGTGAAGGTCCTCGGATCCTGCCTGCTAAGTGACAGCACAACACTTTTAAGATGACCCGGCAGGCATCGAGATTGTTGACCGGCATTGGCCATGATGCATCCATGATGCATCTTTCACAGGGACCACGTGCGTGAAGAGTGGGCGTACAGCTGCGCAGCTGAATCGTCAAATTCGGAGACAGACTTGCTGGACTGCAGCCGGATCTCCGGAACGTTCGCAGAGACTTTCATGCCCCTCGATCTTCCCGCGACGGTGATGGCGCGCTACATCTGATGTTCGAGAAACTGCTTCCCATAGAGTGCCATCACACCGCATCGTCCAGAGCTGGGGCAAGCACCAGCCTTGGCTGGGTAGAGAAGGCTGGCAGCATTGTGGTCTCAACAATCTCCACCCTTGCGCATGCCCCGAAAGGATCGTTAACGAGCTGCTGGAAGCTGGAAAAACTCGATACAGTCAGGGCAATGGAGTTGCTCACGATACCCATTGAAGCATGCCAAAGCTCCTGCGCTGCTCGAATCCCCGCCTGCACATCCATAGCAGCGATCAGCTCTGAGATGTCTTTACAGTACAAGCCTCTTCGAGCCCGGTATGCCGAAAGAAGGCATGCACGGATCTTCTGGTACAGCGTTGTGTCCATCTCAGCAAACAGCTTCAATGCCTGCAATGCACTGCTCCGACAATCTTCACTGCTGTCGGCCCCACATGCTTCTGCAAGCGCTTGTGCACAGGCAATGTTGAACCTCCCCAGCAATGCAGTCGTGCACCTGCTAAAAGCCCGACAGATTTGGACGCGGACTTCGTCATCCGCATGTCGCAACCAGTACAACATGTCCTTGACAAAGAAATGCCGAATGCCTTTACTTTTTGCTGTGTGAAAACAGTGTCCAGCCCAAGCTGCCATTGTCCATTGAGCGTTCTTTGAGATACTCTCTTCAGGGCGCAGGCAGTGTTCGCGGGAGCTCCCGCGCCGCTATCAACAAGGCGTTGGGCCAGCTTCTGTGCCAAGCATTGATGCCCTTGAAGAAACACCACAGTCCTGCAAGCATCTTCTCACACTACAGTAACAGTACATGGCTAAGCTGGGCGAACGAATGAGCCATGGTCAAAACTCCTTGCATGAAGCCTGGTAGCCCTATCATGGTGTACACTCCTTCCATTCTGACACAGGCAGCCGTTTCTGGCCCCCAACTGCGCCTAAGACACTGCGGAGCCGGCCCGGTCCCAAGTCCGGGGCACGCATGGCCCTTGCCTTGACCCTTTTCCTGTGCATTAAGCATGCGTGCGGTGTGAGGGTTCCTGGGAGTGCCACGCTCCTGGGAGACCCCGATAATACTCTCCTTCAGCATGACAAACGTGAGGGGAAGCAAGTGGAAGGCGCCCAGCAGGGAGTAGGAACTAGGGCCTCCTATAAACCCTGGACCAATGCACAAAGTAGGCGAAGAGGGGGCACGCAGCCCCGTTTCAGAGTACTCTCGCTCAATGTTGGAGGCCTCAGCGCCTTCATGTGGGCCGATCTCAAGCCATTCCTCAGCAGTCATGCATCAGTATACGACGCGATACTGCTGCAAGAGACACATCGCACATCGAGTGCCGAATTCTCTACTGCAGGATGGTGGGCCGTTGGCTCGGCCACCAAAAACAAGGCAGACGGAGTGCTCACGCTGATTAACCCGCGTTTTCCATGTCAAACCATCAAGCATGAAGAGGTGATACCTGGCCGTGTTTTGCGAGTGCAAATCACAACCAAATCAGGCACGGTTGAAACTTTCAATACCTATCAGCATCCCTGGTCTCAGGCTGACTGCGCCGAGCACAACCTCACTCGGAGGCACGAGCTCCTAGAGAAGCTGTCCCGCTCAGCGCTCAACATTGCCAGACGCAGCACAGTCATCGTTGCGGGAGATTTTAATGCTGAGGTCCAGTATTCTCACGGACACACTGGCACGGCACGAGCAAACTCAGAACGACATGTCGGAGTCAAGGCTGCCGACCCAACGGCCCTTACTAGATTTCTTGAAAACTGTCAGCTCATTGCCCTCAAGACCTTTCAATGTAAGATTCCACACACTTACTTCGGGCAGCAGGGGAAGAGTCAGATTGACTTCAACCTCACCAGAGCAATCTCGGCCGATTCCCACTCCAAACACACCAAAATCTTTGAGCCACACACATTGGAGGATGGAAAGAGCTTGGCCATAGAGCCCTTGACACCAGCGTTCGCATTGCGCAGCACTACCAGTCACTACCACCTTCAGTTGCCTAGAGTGCAGCCGCTCGGCTACGACAAAAAAGAACTCGACAAAGCCGTCAGACACAAAGAACCCAGCACCCTCGCACTCCTTAGTCGCGTTCAGGAACTCTGCAATCAGCAGAACCACACGAGGCTTCACTCGGATACCCTCAATGCAATTGTTTTGCAGGCTGCAGGCGACATCTATCCACCTGAACGGAGGATAGCACCTAAACCAGACGCAGAGTTTCCCAAACTCTGGGAGTTGAGGCGTAAGCTCAGGAACGCTAAACTCTGCACCATGCTTGGTATCTTCAAATTCTGGAAACAGTGGACCCAATACCAAAAACGCGTTAAAGAGGCGAGAGTCGCTTGCATTGCACGAAAACGCAAATACACCTTTTTTTTTTGGACTGACGCCTCTTTACTACATCAGTAGCGCAGTAGGCCGGTCTTGTTGGGCTCGACATAACAGGTGAAACAAAGTCAGCGCACTTAAACCACCAAACACACCACGCAACCACCCAAGAACCAACGAAACAGAAGAAACAAAGCAAGCAAAGGCGCAGACCTACTAGGTAACCCCACGCACTCAGTACTCGAAGTCGTCGTTGAAGTTCCGGTGCAATCATATAGCACAGAGCATGCGGGGAATCGCAAAATGCGACACTGCCAGATTCTCAAAACCACCATCATGTAGCAACTGGTGCGACATCATTCGAATCGAACCGAGGTCATCACTCGAGTCAGGATCCCTACCCGTCGTTAAGGACAGATAACGGACCCAGAGTGGCAAAGGGATGTTGCAGGTCAGACTTCCCAAGGGAGAGGAAAGACGTGCGTATGCCCCATGGTGGTCAGCCAGTGGGGACTTAACAGCGAACTATCAAAGCAAGACCGGCCCAGGGCACGGTGGTCAGCTAGTGGAGCAGCCCCAAGCAAAGGGCCTCCGCTCACCCTGGCTTGCAGCTGCGCCCATCCGGAAAGATGTCCACGCACGAGCAAAGTCTTATTAGACGGCCAGAGGGAGGCCAAGCCTTGACTACGTGAGTGACTATAGCGACCGATTCCACCGTGAGCGTCATCAGCACGTTGCCAAACCTTAAAAGCACAGAGTTTAAAGTGGCGACCGAAGACTCTCTGTCAAGACATTGCACACAAGGCCACACAGCTTTTGCGTTGGCCTGCGCATCAGTTTTCCCTCCAAACCCTAACCCCATGAGATACGTCGGTAAGGAGATGGAAGGGCTCACATCACATTTGCGCGCGGTCAGCCACTGGGAACTCACAAGTAAGACTGCAGACCAGCTTAGGGCTTCCCATGGTGGTCAGAAAGGCAGCTGCAAGCCGCAGCCAAGAGCAGCAGGCTTCTTGGAGGCTTCCAGAACGGAATCCAGGTTCTTCATTGATGCGGAAGACACAGATTCCGCGCCGGAAGAGACACTGTACTCCGGCAAGGTTTGGACCTTGTTCACACCCGCGTTGTTGCCACGGGGCAAGACAAGTGGGCTTTTCAAGGGCAGCACACGTTGGAGAAACACAGCCATCCGAGCAGTAGTGTCAGGCCATTCCAGGTTAAAGACGGACCAAAAGTACTTAATGTTCTAATTGGCCACCAAGGCTGCTAGAGCTTTTTTTTTTTTGGACTGGTGCCTCTTTACTACATCAGTAGCACAGTAGGCCGGTCTTGTTGGGCTCGACGTAAAGGGTGAAACAGAGTCAGCGCACACAACCCGCCAGACACAACACGAAACCACCAAGCAAACAGACACCGAAGAAACAAAGCAAGCAATCGCGCTAAACACCTAGAAACCCCACGGACTCAGTACGAGGTCGTCAATGAAGTCCTGGTTCACAAAGAAGCACAGAGCTTGTGGGGGATTCGCAAAATGCGACGTTGCCAGATTCTCAAAATCACCATCATGTAGCCACTGGTGCGACAGCGGTTATTCAAACCGAGGTCATCAGACGAGGTTCGGATCACTTAATGTTGTCAAGGAAAGACAACCGACACTCAATGGCGAAAGGATGTTGCAAGTCAGACTCCCTAGGGGGGATGAAAGATGTGCATATGCCCCATGGTGGTCAGCCAGTGGGGACTTAACAGCAAGAACAATCAAGGCAAGACCGGCCCAGGGCACTCCATGGTGGTCAGCCAGTGGAGTAGCTCCGAGCACAGGGTTCACCAGTCAACCTGGCGTATAAGTGCCCACCCTCAGAGGTGCCCGCGCACGGCCAGAGGGGGGGCGAGAGTAGCAGCAGCTACCGATTCCACGGGGAGAGTCCACAGCGAGTCACCAAACCCTTAACGCCACAGGGTTTATAATGACAACGAGGGACCTCCCAGTCCAGGCATCTTCACACAAGGCTACGCCACCTTGGCGCTGGCCTGCGCATCGGCACGCATCAGGTCCCTCCAAACCCAAACCCGCGAGGTACGTCGGTAAGGAGATGGGAGGGCTCACATCACATTGGTGCCGAAGTGCAAGGATCTCCATGATATTGCTACTTTGATCCAATCAGAGCCTTCAGGTAACATCCACGCGGGCGGGGAGCCCACTTGCCCTGCCGCATGCCAAGCTCAGACGAGGGTGACCCTCAAGAGTCTCAAGAGGGCCAGGTTGTTCTACAAGTGAGGAGTGGCTCCCTGCCAAGTCAGCGGATGCATAATCGCCACGTAGAAGTGTCCACAGCCAGCGCGCCGAACTGCTAGGTCACCCTGTGCACTCAGTACTTGAAATCGTCGAAGAGGCCGGGAGCACACAAGTGGCACCGAGCGCGCAGGTGCGTCGCAAAATGCGACATTGCCAGATTCACAAAACCACCATCATGCAGCCACCGATGCGAATACATTCAGCACCAGCCAAGGCCGTTCACGAGAAGGTTCACAGGGGATGGAGGTAACTGCCGCACGCAGGGCCGAAGGATCAGGGTCCTTGGGTGCCATGACAGTACATCTCAAACCAGAAGCTGTTGAGTCGCTGCTTGGTTGGATGTTTAGCTCGCATGAGCTTCTTAATGGCAGCCTAATGAGCAGTGGCTGCGTCATACCACTCATTTTGGGGACGTTGTGGCCCATGCTTGGTGGGTGTGGTGCTGATCCCTTTCCAACGCGCATCGAAGATGACTGGGAGCCGGAAAGGGGCTGAGACATCAACTTCTCGCAAAGCTGCAAGGTCAGTGGTTTCGCAGCTCCGAGAAGCGCCAATCATTCACCTGTGCCTCGGATTCGTCCTCCGCATCCGACATGTCATCCATCGGGCAGGGAGAACCTTCGTTAGTTTCGGAAGAGATGCTGACGACCTCGGCAAGCCGGATGGCGTCAAGGTGGGCAGGGGGGAGGTCCGGCCTAAATTCTTGATAGCGCCCTGCAGCGTGATGCCTAGAAACGTGCTCAGGCTGGGCTGGGCAAGCCTGGCCGTTTCCACGTCTGTGTGCTTAGCAGCTGCGACCCATGCCTGCAAGGCTTCTTGGGAGGCTTGGCCAGTGACTTGTGGCAGTCCACTGTGCGCGTCCATCACATATTGGGCAGTAGGGCACTTGGGACACCGATAAGCGCGGCCAGCCAAGAAGGCCACCATGGCTGCGGGCGGCACATTGATCTGCAGGTCAGTAATTTTATTGTCAGATTCAGGAAAACCAATAACAATGGGCAGCCCTGCCGTTCGCTC